GCCAGGCTGGTCTCGAACTCCTGACCTCGGGTGATCCACCTGCCTTGGCCTCCCAAAGCGCTGGGATTACAGGCATGAGCCACCACGTCTGGCCAAGAGTTCTGTACATCTTACAAGTCCCTTATTAGATTCAGTGGATTTTCATTATTCGCAATATTTATGTTCTATAAGGTCACCACCAAGGCTGAACCATTGCTTCTAGGGGAAATATGTACGTGTATGTACATATCTCACATAGACTATAATCTTAAATCCTTAAAACAACTCATCCCAGTAGCTTTTATTTTATGCAAGACAAAAGGAGGTTCAATTTTATTTTATGGTTTTATTTTATGAAAGACAAAAGGCCTGTGGCCGCCCCACTAGCTAATGCCCCCAGAGTTGGGATTCATACCCCATCCAACTCTTCCCAGAACCAGAGCCTCTTGAACTACACCGCAGTGGCCTCATTCTCTGGTCTTCTCTGTGTAACAGTTGAAACAAGAAGGCAGAACATGGCCTTATTCAGCCTCAGAGAATATCTGCATCTTTTTTACTGCTCCATGTATGCCTGCAAGTGACCAGGGAAAGCTTAGTGAGTACTGATTTGAGGTTACAAATACAATTTGAGCAAGTAGTTCACAATATGCAAATATGAAATCCACTAATAATGAGGACCAACTCTGTATGGCTTGCAAATATTTTCTCCTATTCAGTGAATTGCCTTTAACCTTCTTTCTGTTTTTGTTTTTGCCCTTTGTTTCTTTGTTTGTTTGTTTTGAGACTAGGTCTCACTCTGTCTCCCAAGCTGGAGTGCAGTGTGTGATCACAGTTCACTGCAGCCTTGACCTCCCAGGTTCAAGCGATCCTCCTGCCTCAGCCTCCCAAGTAGCTGGGACCACAGATATGTACCATCATACCCAGCTAATTTTTAATTTTTTTTTTTTTTTGTAGAGGTGGAGTCTCACTATGTTGCCCAGGCTGGCTTTCACTTTCTTGATGGTATTCTTTGAAGCATGAAAAGTTTTAAATTTTGATGAGGCCCAATTAATCTATTTTTCTTTTGTTCCTTGAGCTTTTGGCGTCATGCCTAAGAAGGCTTTTCCTTTCTCAGAGCCATGAAGATTTATTCCTGTGTTTTCTTCTAAGAGTTTTATAGTTTTAGCTCCTATATTCAGGTCTACCATGCATTTGAAGTTAATTTTTGTGTGTAGTATAAGGAAGAGGCCCAACTGCATTATTTTCCATGTGGAAATCCAGTTGTTGGGCACCGTTTGTTGAAAGGACTATTTTTCCTCTGTTGAACTGCTTTAGTACTTCTGTAAAAAAACCAATTGATCATAAATGTGAGGGTTCATTTTTGGACTCGTGATTCAGTTACATTGATCTATATTGCTATTCTCACCCTATCTTAATTAAATTAGCTTTGTATTAAGTTTTGAAATTGAAAAATGCCAGTTTTCCAGCTTTGTTCTTTATACACCTTTTGAGTATTTTTACATACCTTTAAATTATAAGACAATGACGTTATTGGACTGATCAGAGAACCTCAATATATAAGAAAGTAAAATGTATAAGTTATAAAAGGTATGGTCTTAGAGTCAAATGAAAATGCCTGTTTATTTATTTTTTGTTTTTTTCTTGAGATGGAGTCTTGCTCTGTTGCCCAGGCTGGAGTACAGTAGTGTGATCTCAGCTCACTGCAACCTCTGCCTCCCGGGTTCAAGCAATTCTCCTGCCTCAGCCTCCCAAGTAGCTGGGATTAAGGGCAGCCCGCAACCATGCCCTTCTAATTTTTTGTATCTTCAGTAGAGACCGGGTTTTACCATATTGGCCAGGCTGGTCTTGAACTCCTGACCTCAGGTGATCCACCCGCCTCAGCCTCCCAAAGTGTTGGGATTACAGGTGTGAGCCACCACGCCTGGCCGAAAATGCCTGTTTCTAATGTCTTTTTCTAATTGCAACCTTCTGCACAGTTGGGCTCATTCAATCAGTTTTGTTGCTGCTAAAACGAGTATTGTAAAATAATGATTGTGACTCAATGATTTTCCTGAATCTCTAATATTTAGACGATTTAACGTTTTGTCTTTGGTTTTGTATTTCCTGTCTGTTTAGGTAGGTGGAGAGTTTTCAAACACTGTTATCAGCCAGATGAAGAAATTTGGAAGGATTGCCATATGTGGAGCCATCTCTACATATAACAGAACCGGCCCACTTCCCCCAGGTAATGAGCACATGCACACGATCCCACATGTCACAAGGCTGGACAAGGAGAAAATTCACAGATATGCCATAGGCCAGTGACTCTGAAATTATTAGAAAGATTTTCATGTATTCTTTTTTCTTTTAAGATAGAGTCTCACTTTGAGAGAGCTCAGGAGTTTGAGAGCATCCTGGGCAACATGGCAAAATGCCATCTCTACAAAAAAATACAAAAATAAGCCGGGTGTGGTGGTGTGCACCTGTAGTCCCAGCTACTCAAGAGGCTGAAGTGGCAGGATCGCTTGAGCCTGGGAGGCTGGGGCTGCAGTGAGCTGTGTTCGTGTCACTGCACCCCAGCCTGGGTGACAAAGTGAGAGCCTGTCTCAAAATAATAATAATAACAACAACAATTTCATGTATTTTGTGCTAAATCAGCTTATATTTGATTTTTATATAGAGAAATAGCAGGATCCACAAATATAGAAGAAACAGTTGTTAAAAGTTTTAGTTTTTACCTATCATTTAATGCAAAGTTGTAAAAAGGCAGTGATGATTTGATTTAGAAACAGAACACCTTGGTCTGGCTGGTAAAATATTCAGGGTCCTCTGGATATGAGAGACATTGCTGGAGCTGCGAGAGGAATAAAGGGTGACTTGCTGTGGGTGAAGGGAAGGGCAGGCTGCCATGTCCTTCAGAAATCTTG